TCTGGACTCGCCCTACCCATGTATGAGCGGACGCGTCGGGACGGAGAGTCGTCGCGGCGAGTCCAGACGACCCGGAGACAGGGGGTAGGTTCACCGAACTCGCCGCGCTCAGAAAGGGCATGTATAACCGGTCGCGCTGAGTTGACAGCTCGTGACCTCTCCCGCCCGTCGCGGTCTCCGCTTCCCCTGTCCCCATCACTCCGACGTTGCTCTTTCTCTGTCGGCCGGTACGCGCGCGCTAGGCACGTTGACATCCTCACGGGCTCCACGCACCATGTGGACAGATAATGAAATAACGACGTTGCTAGCTTTAGTCAACGAGAAAAAACTGAGTGATTTGCTCCAATCTTGCAAGGAAATATAAAAAAATAGCAAATTACTTTCATTTTTAAGCATAAACGAGGCACAATAGAAATAGAGGTGTAAAATTACGGCAAAATGGTATGCGGCCGTATGAATTTTTACGTAAGCCGATAGAAATTTTACTCAAAAATGTATATTGCATTCCAATTGAAATTACAAGCCCTCAGATTAAAAATTCATCGTGTAAGGATCTCACTGTCCAGTCCAAAAGCCACAGAAATCAGATTAGCCAAACAGGGTGAGCGTATGAGGCAAGAGGAACACGGTGCACTTAATTGTGGTGGAACAGTACACTTTGTTCCAACAATTGATGAGGGTCCTTAGTCATTTTCATTTAAAAACTGCTTATTGTTTTCAATTTAAAATTTTCAACGAGGTTCAGGGCGCCGATTAATTCGTATTAGCGACAAGCCACAACTATTGCAAAAAATGACTCGCGTGTAGGGCTTCAAAGAATTTTCCACAGCATCAGGTACACAAATGAAAGGCGTTACAAACCATGAATCACGGCGAATTCCTGGAGAGACCAGCCAGGGGTGAACAGGGGACGGTGCGTCAGGCTGCGGATACGCCTGCGGCGAGCGCTGTGCCGCGACAGAACCACTGCTGCCATCGCGTTGTGCAGTGTTAGCCAAGACACCAACACAACCATAAAGTACAGCTGGCGCAAACTGAGAAAAAATACCAAGACAGCCATCGCGGTGGCGGAGCGACAACTGCGTAAACAACCGCAGCCCACAGCGGCGAGAGCGCTTGGAGGAGCGGAAACCGGTACCGGAAGACGGGCTTCCGGCTCACCTCGACGCAAAGCGTCGCTGCGATCACCGCTCACCTCAACTCGTCCGTGCGAGTTCATATAAACTCGGGCGTGTTGAGGTAAGCTGAACAACTCAGCCCGCCCCCGTCGCGTCCATGTACACGGGCCTTTGGAGGTCACGTGTACAACGCCGGGGGCTCGTTCGCCATCACCACCATCAGAGAAAAAGAAAGAAAAGCCATTTTGCAAGCGGTGTGCGTATGTTGTGGTGTGTATTGAACTTTGGTTCCACCATGGGGAAGTAGGCGAGCTACACGGCTGGGTTTAAACTGAAGGCAGTGCAGTACGCGCTGGAGCACGGCAACCGGGCTGCAAGCAGGCATTTCGGCGTTGGAGAAACCAGTATTCGGTACTGGAGGGACCAAGAAGAAAAACTTAAGGCTGGAGGACAACATCAGCTGACTGGATAGCTGGATGGCTGGAGGACAACATCAGCTGACTACAGGTGGTAAGATTAAGAGGCCGCCTGTGGAAATGCTGTGCGCTTGGATCGTAAAAGCGTGGCAGGCGATCTCCGACGAAGTCGTCAGGAAAAGCTTCAAGAAGACGGGTATCTCGAACGCACTGGATGCGAGTGAGGATGACATGTTGTGGAGTGCGGATGATTCGGACACCGAAAATGAATCCCCGCTCGGCGAGGATGAATATGTGATCCTTGACTCGGACTCCGAATAGGGAAAAGGAGGAACAGCTACGACTTTTGTGTAAATAAATTTTACGTGTGTGTGTGCAGTTGACGGCTCTCGCTTGTTCATTAAAAGGTACGTAGGTATGTTTGTTTTATGCTGAATTAATTGGTAAACGATAAAGTCGCCTTTTACTTGACAAGTGTGCAGATTTAAAGCGCGAGAACCGAGTTGAAAAAATTTTCGAAAATTTTACCCCGCGTAATTGGCGCACCCCTAACTTCGAGCCGGATTTTCTGAAAAAAAAAGTGCGCCTATTATGCGAGTAAATACGGTATATTTTTTGGACGTTCGCGGCCGCTCAGTGACCCTCCACATGTCCCTACGTCACGGTCGCCATGTTTACTTTTGAAAAGGGCTTGCCGAAAAGGTGGTGCTGTCTAAGAAAGTTCCATAATAAATAAAGTAAGTTCCATAATAAATAAAGCAGTATTTATTTCAGCAAGGCAAATGAGATATTATAGTTCCTATAGAGATATTATCAGTAAATTAGTGTACTGCTTTTTGACGCGGTGGCAGGCATGCATTTCGGTTCTGTTGTTTCCAGGGTGCTGTTAGAGTGTACTAGAAGGGGTAGTGCTGTCAAGTTGTCGCGGAGTGTGAGCGCTCTTTACCTCGCTGATGCCGCTAGTTCTCCACATCTCGACCCGTTCGCCAAGCCTAAGTCAATCTGTTCTGTCACCATGGGTAGCGTACGGCGGCAGGCCTTCACGGCACAGCAAAAGCTTAAGATCATCGCCGTCGCCGAGGAATTCGGAAATCGCGAAGCGGGAAGACTGCACGATGTGGACGAGTCCTGCGTGTGACTGTGGAGAAAGAAGAAAGAGAGCCTACAAGCTGCGCACCGCGACAGTAGGTCACTTCATGGCCCCAAGACCGGTGCCTACCCTGAGCTGGAGGCGGAGCTAGTAAACTTCATCGAAGATGTGAGAAGCAGGGGTCACGCCGTATCGACCGAGATGGCCTAAGTGGAAGCGCGGCGACTTTCGAGGGAGCTAGGCCTACCTCACGAGTTTATGTGCGAGCCGCGGATGGCAGCACCGCTGTATGAAGCGGCAAGGGCTTTTAATCAGACGGCGGACTACAAAATGTCAACACTTGCTGGCTTCTTATGAGGAGAAGCTGCTCAAGTACCAGAGATATGTAATTGGCCTGCGAAAGCAGCACAATTACATTTTCTCGGAAATCGGCAATGCGGATGAAACTCCTGTTTATTTTGAAATGCCGTTGGACACGATTGAGAAGATGGGCAGCAGTTCGGTCAGCGTGCTGACCGGTGGGAACACGAAACTGCGCATCACAGTCTTGCTTTGTGCCCTCGCCGACAGCACACAACTGCGACCGTACGTCATCTTGAAAAGGAAAACTCTACCAAAGGTTCATCTGCCTGCCGGTGTGGTGGCGCGCACACGAGAACGCGTGGATGAACAGTGACTTGTTTGTAGACTGGATCAAGACGGTATGGGAGAAGAGGCCCGGTGCGATGCTCACAAAGAGGTCCATGCTCGTTCTTGACTCGTTCCGCGGCCACACAACTGAGGAAGTGAAGGACCGGCTTTCACGCAACGGCACCGACTTAGTTGTTATACCCGGTGGAATGACGTCAATGTTGCAGCCTGTATATGTGTCGCTTAACAAGCCCTTCAAAGCGCATGTCAAGCCCTATTACGCCGAGTGGATGGCCGAAGGCTGCTACGACTTGACGCCGACAGGACGAGTCCGAAGGCCTGATATTGCTCTATTCTGCAAGTGGATTGTCGAGGCATGGAAGGCCACTCCAGGTGAGATGGTGCGAAAAAGTTTCAAAAAATGCTGCATCACAAACAACATGGATGGAACCGAAGATGACCTTGTGCATAATAGTGAGGACTGGGGCTCAAGTGATAGCTCTAGCGAGAGCAGCGACAGTGAGTGAATTGTGACTGGCCTCGCAGACAGCGTATTTTGCTTGCTAAATAAAGCTTTTTCTGTCTACATATGTGCTATGTTGCTTGAGCAGTAGCTTTTGCACAGTCTTTCCTGTATATCAAATGTGCGGGCAATACGCGAGCATATATTTTTTTTTTTCTCGGTGAGCTGAAAGTGGGGGTGCGGATGATATGCAGGGTCGGGTTATACGCGCAAAAGTACGGTACGACTGTGTTATCAAACTGTACTTCACAGCCACATCTAAGGACATGCTGGGCCAGAAAACCATCGTTGCCGCTGCAAACATTGCACGCATGCTCACGCAATAAGTCGTTGAGGCATCTTCCAGTTTGCCCACTATAAAAGGCACCACATGAAAGTATGATCATGTAAACAACGTTGCTAATGCAATTGACAAAACAGTTTTGGTGCTGTGTTTTGCACTGCTGTTTCTTGTGTCTAGCGGCACATGCCAGCCTAGCCAGCTGAGAAAGCTTGTGTGGAACAAAAAAAACTACATGCACTCCCATGCCTTTGGGAAAAACGCTGCATTGCCGTAGCCGATCCCAGTGGCCACGATAAGTGAAGCAAAACAGAACACGAGCGCCACAAGCTCATGCATCATCTGCATGTGCCAGCTCTTGAGTGGAGTTGTGAAACTGAATGGTTCTAAAAACATTGACTTACATCCACATAGAGTGACGGCACTGTCATGCTGTCATTCGTGAGTTCGCAGCCGCTGTGTCATATGAGGCCAGTTAGATGCTGCCTCCGAAATGCTAGTCCTCATCACATCGAGGCTTCCTACCACGTGAGTGTACTGGCACATGCACGAAGAACACACAAACGCACGCATACATTAGACTCCAAACAGCTCGGCAGTAATGGTGAGAGTTGAGTAGTGCTGCACGCGACTAGCCACGAATCGATTCCACGTGGTGGTACAGTGCTTTAGTGAAATGACATCGGTTCATTGCAAAGGCAGTGTTGTGGTGAGCATCACTCAACGTGCAAAAAACTCTAACTTATCATCAGAGGGTTTTTAGCACTTTTTAATAGAAATACGCAAAAGAGAATGACTTGGTCGCCACGTGCTCGTTTTCAGGGCAAGTCTACGTAAAACAAACTATTGATGTAATGGCCACTTATTGTGGCACTTCCGAGTTCATTATGAACGGGTTCTACTGTATATGTAAGGAATTAAACAAAATTGCACTCGTGAATACCTGGGCAGCGGTGAGTCCACTGGGAAAAGCACCAGGCACTGCCTGCGAAAACGAATCCATGGGCAAGCCACGGTCGGCAAAAGCATCTGGTGAACGCTTTCGCAATGCTTTCCACTGTTCCTGCAGTAGAGACCGTGGCCGGAGTGGCGAATGACGAGGTGACCGGCGAGGAGATCGGCGCGGAGACCGACGTGGAGAACGGCGTGGAGATCGGCGCGGTGATCTTCGACGCAAGGGAGGCAGTGGTGAACAGTGACCGTTTGCGGCTACTCAGGTCAGCCTGCATGTGGACCACAGGAGCAAATAAGTAAAATTGCACATAACCACAACACTCAATTTAAAAACGGAGTTCACTCAGCTGTCAAAGAAAAGGTACAAATGTGGGCTTGCCAGCACATAAAAGGGACCCTAAAAAGATTTGGATGAGTGCAAATCAAGTTCTAGGGGTCATTTAAAGACTATCCTTATAAACAGTTTAATTTATTACAATCACTTAAAACTACAAATCGCTGCAGACCACTGCAGCTCAGCCAAATGAGTTTTCAACCGCACAGCACTACATCCACTAGAAGAAAGACGTCACCCAGGCTGATTCGATTGGATGTGGAGTGAGCGTAAGTGCAAGGAAGATCAGCTCGTAGAATGACGGCAGATATCAGCCACTCTGTGATCTTTCTGTTGCGAGACTGTGTGCATGCTGCCAAGACCGGGTGCCACCTATCTGCATGATATTTTCGAGATCATGACTGGGCAAAGCGCAATTGTGGAGTGCGCTTATAAGAGCTCTGCAATCACCAGTGACGCCGGCTTGTTTCACGAGTTGAGGAGGCAAGGTAGGGTGAGAAGAAAGATATATTATAATTGTCCATAACTGCTTTGGTATATGGTAAGCCGCCGTGGCACAGCCGCCGGTGGGCTCGGCGGCTGTGCCACGGGACAGTTGCCTAAGCTGCTACTTTTCAATATGCAGGTCGTCGCCATCGCAGTGATCTGCGCAGCTCTGCCCGCTACCATACTGGCCATCCCGCACGCACCCTCAACCTGTGTGGAACCATGCATTGGCCGTATATCGGTTGCTTTCTCATATGATAAGCTAACCGCCCCTGACACGGATTTCGTCACCATTGCCACCTGGGATACGCCTATGTCAGCAACATCAATCGCCTCTTCGGCTATAAAGGAGCGACACCCTCGCGCGCCCAACTGTGGGCTCGGCGGCTGTGCCACGGGATAGTTGCCTAAGCTGCTACTTTTCAATATGCAGGTCGTCGCCATCGCAGTGATCTGCGCAGCTCTGCCCGCTACCATACTGGCCATCCCGCACGCACCCTCAACCTGTGTGGAACCATGCATTGGCCGTATATCGGTTGCTTTCTCATATGATAAGCTAACCGCCCCTGACACGGATTTCGTCACCATTGCCACCTGGGATACGCCTATGTCAGCAACATCAATCGCCTCTTCGGCTATAAAGGAGCGACACCCTCGCGCGCCCAACTGTGGGCTCGGCGGCTGTGCCACGGGACAGTTGCCTAAGCTGCTACTTTTCAATATGCAGGTTAGTCGACCTTTGAGTCTTTACGCTAAGAAATCGAGCGACTTGTTTCTGGTACTGCTGCCGAGCCCCCAGTGTTTGTTATCCATTATTGTAGAGTGTATTGATGTCTTGTGTGCCTTGCTATTGCTGTCAGGCGACATTGAAACTAACCCCGGCCCGGAATCTAACGCTATACTAACCGAATTGCAAAAACTGTCAGCAGGGCAATCACAGCTAATAATCGAACTGAAGGGTTTAAAAACCGAACTCGCCGAAAATAGCAGCATAATAGGTGAACTTAGCAGAAGAATCAATATCGTTGAGAGCCACTGTCAACGCATCGAATCCCTGCAACAACAGGTCAAAACCATCACGTCTACTACTGCCGAGACAACCCAGGCAATCTCAGACATAGAAGCACGAATTGATGACGCCGAAAATCGAGCCCGCCGCAACAATCTAATCTTTTTCGGTATTCCCGACCCTGGCGCATCGGAATCTGCCTCTCAGATAGAAGAAAAAATCATTCGCCTTTGCTCAGATCAGTTGGGCTTAACTGTGAATCCCGACGAGATTGAGCGTGCGCATCGTCTCGGCCGCCACAATACTAGCCGTAACCGCCCCATAATTGCGAAATTTGCTCGCTTTAAAACCAAAGAAAAAATCCTGTCTAATGGACCCAAGCTCAAAGGCAGTAACTGCAGAATTGGTCAGGACTACTCCCGCGCAGTACAAAATGCCCGGAAACACCTTCTTGCTTTTGCAAAGGCGAAAGCTGTCGCCTTTTCTCTACGTTATAAAACCCTGTACATAGGATCCGCGAAGTATATGTACGATGACGCAGCGAAGCGTGTTAAAGAAATCAGATAGCAATTGCCACATCATCGACAGCCATCACAGCGCTCGATAACAATACGCCCAAGCACTGCTATTTCAGCAATTTTTACTAACATACGGAGTTTTCTTCCTAAACGCGACGTCGTATGTAATATTGCCCTATCGTCTGGGTGTAATTTGTTAATACTTACCGAAACATGGCTTACTGCCGACGTATCCGACGCAGAGGTTATGGATGACCTACCGGGCTTTCATGTTTTCCGCAAAGATCGTCAGAACTCCAGAGGTGGTGGTGTGCTCATTGCCGTCAGTGATACCTTGCCTTGCACCATTGTTCATACACCCAGTGATCTTGAAATACTATGGCTACTTTTCCGTTCCTCTCCTCATACTATTTTACTTGGTGTATGCTACCGCCCGCCGCGAACAGATACGGACTTCATTGAAAAGCTTAGCTGCGTCTTGAACACACTCACGACAAAATACATTAACGCTCAGATATTGTTCTTTGGGGATTTTAACTTCCCTCACATAAATTGGAATAGTAATCCGCCTTCATCACTGAGTAAAGCCGATAATGATTTCCTCGATCTCTGTTTTAACTTCAATTTAAGTCAGCTTGTGTTACAACCAACACGCGTTGCGCATGGCTCAGCCAGCGTTTTAGATCTTATACTAACCAATAGTCCAAATAGCCTATCTTCGATGTCTTACCTCCGCGAAATTAGCGACCATAAAATAATCCACGCAGTCTTTAGCTTTACCTTGCTGAAACGAGAATCGTGGAGAAAAACAATACGCTTATACGGCAAAGGCAACTACGATGCCATAAACAACGAACTTATCGCTTTTTACTCGACTTTTTGCACCGATTTTCACAGCCGCACACTTCATGCAAACTGGTCGATCTTCCAACAAAAGTTTACTGAGCTCGCCACCAACCACATTCCAGTTACTTCAGTACAAGCTAACCGCAATAAACCTTGGTTCAATAGGAAATTAAAATCTCTAGAAAATAAGAAAAAACGACTTTACCGATTCGCAAGGCAACAAAATTGTACCACGGCCTGGGAAAAATATTACGTAGCTGAGAAAGTTTACTTATCAGCTATACGTCATGACAAGCACTCCTTCTTTTATGACACCTTACCCTGTGTACTCAAGAGCAACCCCCAAAAATTCTGGCAAATTTTAAACCCCAAGCCACCTACTGCTGTTGTCATTACCGACCATAACGACATTGCGATTCCTGAGCAAGAATGTGCTGATGTATTTAACCTTGCTTTTTCATCTGTATTTACCACTGAACCTGATGCTCCTCTACCAGTGCCCCCACCCCCTGTCCAAGGTGTCATGCCAGCAATCCAATTCAGCGAACAAGGAATAATAGCCATAATTGAAAATCTTAAACTTTCATCAACTTCAGGGGCAGATGATATCAATACAAAACTGTTAAAAAACACCAAGAACATCTGCGCAGCCTATTTCAGAATTATTTTCGAGCAGTCCTTATCATCCGGTAGCATCCCCCTCTCCTGGAAGGAAGGGCAGGTCGTTCCAATCTTCAAATCAGGCAACAAAAGCTCTCCTCTCAACTATCGACCGATTTCCCTGACTAGTGTACCTTGCAAGATAATGGAGCACGTCATCTACACGCAAATCATGCAGTTTCTTGACAGGCACAACTTTTTTCACGCATCTCAACATGGATTCCGGAAGGGCCTCTCATGCGAAACGCAACTTGCCATGTTCATCCACGACTTGCACATCAACCTCGATACTAACAAACAGGTAGATGCCATTTTTCTTGATTACGCAAAAGCTTTTGATAAGTTACCCCACCAACGGCTGTTACTTAAGCTCTCTCAGTTGAATCTACATCCCGATATTTTCCATTGGATTAAGGAATTTCTTGCTAGCCGATCACAGTCAGTACATATCAATAATTCCATTTCCGCCCCCCTCCCTGTAACATCTGGCGTTCCACAGGGCAGCGTCTTAGGCCCTCTGCTGTTTCTTATTTATATAAATGACCTCCCTCTACATGTTTCCTCTCAAATCCGAATGTTCGCAGATGATTGTGTCATCTACCGTACAATCACTAACAATGCTGACCACGCTATTCTGCAAGAAGATCTCAACAATATTCAGGATTGGTGCAACGAATGGCTGATGACCCTCAACCCCAACAAATGCAAGGTAGTATGTTTCACTCGCCGTCTTCAGCCATTATACACACCTTACACTATTGCTAACACTTCATTAGAAACAGTGGATACATTCAAGTACCTTGGTGTCACACTCTCACATGACTTAAACTGGTCGCCTCATATAGCATGCATTACCGCCTCGGCCAACCAAACCCTGGGATTTCTAAAACGCCACCTGCGTCATGCACCACGCCACGTAAAACTTCTAGCATATAAGTCACTCGTACTCCCGAAACTAGCATACGCTTCTCCCATATGGTCACCTCATCAAGCATGTCTTATCAATACCCTAGAAGCCATTCAGAATCGCGCAGTAAGGTTTATTCAATCGTCATATTCCTATAACATCAGCATATCATTACTAAAAACACAGTCTGGTTTAAACACGCTATCATACCGGCGCCGCATTGATTCATTAATCCTTTTTCACAAGTTTTTCTACAGCTCGCTTCATCATGCCCCATATATTTTGGCCCCGCCACCGCGCACATCGCTGCGCACAGGGCACCACTTGCAAGTTTCTCGTCCACGCAGCCACACTACAACATTTTCTGCATCTTTCTTTTGTCGATCATCAGTTGACTGGAACGGCCTGCCCCGCCATATCGTCGAAACCACCTGCTCATCATCATTTTCGGTAAAACTAAAATCTGCTGTTTTTCAATAAATGTATGTAGCCACTATTTTGTAAAAAAA